ACTATTTGACCCTTGTCGAGCAAAACGGTACTTTTAGTACTACTCCTGATGTTTTGGTCCGTTTTAGATCTCTCTCTTTCTCTCTCTCTCTCTCTCTCTCTCTCTCTCTCCTCTCTCTCTATCTCTCTCTCTCTCTATCGATGTACTTCACCACCCCTCCCCCTTAACAACATTATGATTTGTTTTTAAAATCACTATTCTTTGAAGACTTCAACAATAAATGCCTTAAAAAAAAGTTATTTCTTCTTGAGATGAACTGCAGCAACCAAAGGTTGCTAACAGCAGCTGTGTAACAAACTGGGCGAATAAACAAATGGGACAGAAATCAGGAATGCGACACCGAACTCTACTTCTGTTCAAATAAAAGGTCAGCAAGTTAAATGTTTTTTTTTTTCAAGTTGTAACGATATTTTAATTTAAAAATTATTCCTTTTGGTATATTTTGGTGCCGATTAAAAAAAAAAAAACCGGTACTATTCCGAAATATATTTTCGCAGCCCTGACCACAAGTACTGGCTGAACTGTAGACCCGAAGTGGCTTATATATACACATCAAATGCGCGATGCTCTGTGACCTTTGCCTCAAATATCAAGAAGGTAAACACACACGAGCGTTTGTTGAGACAGCTGGGATACAAGTCTACTCTCTGATTACAATCTAATACGAGTCTTTGGCACCCGCGGTAGCGCACTGGCTAGCCGCTTTGCTTCCGACCTGAAAGTTTGGAGCTCGAAACTGCACTGAGTCGGATGTTTTGTGTAACTGACCGTAGCTCTCAGGTCCGCCCAGCTGAAAAGGGGCATAAGGAAATGCCCTGGTAAAGAAAAGGTAGAAGATGTGTTGTTGATGACATCACACACTTGTGCTGATTGGTCTATAAAATATAGCTATGGCACAATACACTCAAAGGTGCTTTACTTTGACAACATATGCCTCATAGGTCAGAGGCATGAAATCATCATCATCATGTGCCCTGCCAACGAGCATAGGCGCTCATGCGCCTCCACAGATCACGATTCCTGGTTGATGATATCCCTCCATGCCATCGTTTTAGCCCATACAGCGTAATTTCTCTTGGTCTGCCTCTACCCCTTTTCCCACTGATCTTTCCAGTTGTCACGATGTTCTCTAATGTCTCTCTTCTCATTATGTGGCCAAAGAACCGTGTTTGTCTCTTTCTTATTGTTGTATATAGAGATCTACTTTCATTAGCTTCTTTCAAGCAATCGTTGTTAGTTACTCTGGCCATCCAAGGTATTCTAAAGTTCGTCTCAGAAACCACATCTCTGTTGCTTCCAAATTCTTCCTAATTAGACACGAAATATCTTTATTTTAATCCATACAGCACATCAGTATAAAGACTATCGCCTGCAACACGGAAAGGTGCCAGAGCGAGAGAAACGTGTAATTTAAGTCTGCAAAAGAAGCAAGGAAAAATAAACGGGTGACTCACAGAAGTGTATCAACTACCGGAATTAAAACATACTTTTCCCAATAACAAAAAACAGCTTTAATCTGAAAGAAATAAAACCGTTACGAAACAATCAAAACCAACACAAGTCAAGCCACAAGAGTTGTGTTAACAGTTGACTCTAAAATATACTCTAAAAACAGAGTCATGCAGTTAAATTCTATGCAGGAAAGGGAATGGCACAACTTTTATATGGATAAAAAGACTCGAAAATTAGTTTGAAATAGAAGAGTCTGCAATGTCGTTATAATTTCCCACCCATTTCCCCTCCATTGTTCTCCATCACTGTGTTACCGTTCTTCGCGTTGTGGCTTTTGTTCTGTACACGCTCACAAACGAACTATGATGACGTTCGGAAGCCTGCCTTTAACGCCAGAATCGTTTACAGCTTGCTATTCAAAATCTGCCCCATCTCACTGACATCTCTCTATAATTTATCGTGCCGACATCGATCGTTAGCAGTCGGGACTGAATAACAGATGTATGGTTAATTCCATCTTCTGCTCCTTCTTCATCGTTCACCTGTTGTAAACTCCGGCGGAAAGTCCTGGCTGTTCGTCCATCTAAACTCTGGCTTTGTGCCATGGCCTGAGTTTTGCGGGCACATCCGTTTTACTGGCTTATTTGTGAGCAGTTGGCTGTTCCCTGTTGCTCGAGAAGATGCAGTCCGACTTTGAATGAAGCTCCCAAACAGCTGACTCATACAACGTACTTATTGGAAAGGGGAAAAAGGGGGGGGGGGGGCGCAGTGAGTCTATTTTTGTCTTCCCCACAACGGGGCAGCGAAACCCACACAAGAAGTATGGTTCACTGAAACAATACTCAACATCATCATCATGTGTGCCTGACCAGATGTCACTGACGGCTCGCAGTATATATCTTAACCCCGATCACTCCTGAACAACGTCTTCTTCTTCTTCTTCTTCTTCATACATCGAATCCAGTCCTGCATCTCTGATCTCTCTCGCTAACGTTCGTTTAAAGCTTTCTCTTGTCCGTTCTCGTTTCTTCAGCCCATTTGCTTCCCATTTCTGTACACATCTGATTGTGTTTCTGTCCACTTCTAATGATATGTTAAAGTTATCACCATCCTCAATGTTATAACTAGTCTTCTTCTTTTTCTTCTTCTTCTTCTTTTTCTTTTTCTTTTTCTTCTTCTTCTTCTTCTTCTTCTTCTTCTTCTTCGCGTTCACCGGCTGTAAACTCCGGTGGAAAGTTATCGTTGTTCGCTCACTTCTGGACTTCTAATCTCTTCTCAGAATCTGAGTGCCATCGTTTTACAGATTTGACTCATTTGCATGCAACTGCTGGCGACTCTTACGACATGCTTTTGGGTAGGCAGTGGGTCTATTCTTGTTTTCCCTACTATTAATATTAGAGGGTTGTCTAGACGTTCTTCTCATCACTTCGCTTTTCTTGAATGCATCCATCCTATTGAATGAAACGCTTTCCCCAAGTTCTGTTGTTATTGTAAAGTTGTCGGCACCTGCAGATTGTGTTGCACTGAATGCAGTTCATAATTTCGTCATATCTGGTTCGATCCCGATACAGGCGCTGCGGCAGCAGACTAGCTTTCAAGTTGTTGAGTTAAACCATCAACATTCAATAACCGCTAGGGCCGGGCCACGACCGCCTCCAGCTGACGGGCCGTGCTGCTGAGGTCACAGGGTCGGCTAACGGTTAAAGCAAGCGGTTCTCAAACAAGAAATAAACTATTTTTGACAGTGACGAGGGAAGACAACTTAAATGTTTAACTTTCAAGTATCTACATGCCCTCTTTATTCATTTCACAATTTGTAGCCGACTTTTCGTGATTATTGCCGCGGCATCCCACGGCATACACTCACGGCACCCAAGTGTGCATCGGCACCCAGTTTGAGAACCGCTGCGTTAACGCATCCGACCCGGTGACGAAAGCAGCACGGCCCGTCAGCTGGAGCCGGTCGTGGTTGGGTCATTTCCCTGCCAACGGCGATATGGTGACATGTCTGTACAGTGGAACCTAGATATAATCCGTGGTTCTTTTTCTTTTATTTCACTCCATCTCGTAGGGAATTCCCGGGCAAGTCCAATAGGTGTTAAGGTGTGAAACGAAAACCGACTAATATTAACCCTAAGCCCCTTATAATATATGGACTTTTCCGGGAGTTCACTACGAACTCTGGAAGTCCCTAAATTGGGGCAAGATTCCCCCCCCCCCTCTTCCCAATAACCTAATCTGTTCCATGACTGAGCTCGTATGGTGAAAACTATTTTCCTCCCAAAAATTATTGTGTCAATAATTTCAATTCGTTCACTCCCTCCAAAAATCACTCCATTCGTTTCAAAATGTTTTTGTTTCCTTAACGAGAAGAATGTGTGGAATTTTTTTTTTTTTGGTACTAATCTCGCGGAAGTCACCTCACGTAGCTTGAGCGCGAAATCTCGTAGCCATTCCCACGGGCTGTCCTACCTTCTAGGGGTGTCAGGTGTTGCTTGTTTTAACATTTTAAGAGATCCACTACCGACGACAGCCACCGCCAACTAGCGTGGAACAAATTTATAAACAATCAATAATTAGATATTCCCAAAGCGTCGCGCTTCCCCTGCAGTACTTCCTGCTTTTACACAGTCGCCTGCGGTGGCTCAACTATTCACAACAACAACACATTCCAGAAACAACATCCGTTCACACAAAAGACAGTAGCATACAGCAAAGCTTCGCAAGTGAGTCTGGCAGATAGTGTCGTATCTAGGTACGCTGGTATTCCGAGGTTCCGCTATATTCATATATCCCAGTCAGCACTGGATGGGTGATGTCAACATCAAGCCGACCGCCTTTGCTTCCGCGGACACATATTTTAACCTCTAACTCCATCGTCTTTCTCTCAAACCCTCACCTTTTTAGCCGTTACTTAGTTTCTCAAGTCTGTCAAATTCCCCTCACGAATAATATCGTATTTTGGTAACTCCTGGCTTAATCCCACTCCGCACTTCCCCAAAATTATTTATTTTTGGCAGACAGTTTGAAAACACCCTGGGTTAAGATTTTGGAATCTAGGGTTGTTGATTTTTTTATTTTATATATATCCTTATATAAAAGTGGGTAAGTGTTTCTTTTGTTGCTATAACATTTGTACTTTTTACCATTCTTGAGTTTTTGTTTTTTGTTCTTTGCTTCTGTATTGCTAGTTTTTTTTTTTTTTTTGTCATTGGCAGCCCTTGTCAGAGGGTGACGTGATGAACATTTTAAACATCGTGTATCCTTCTATTTTACTTCTTTCTATGAGTGCCGATCAATACACCGTCTGTTTATTTATTATACATATTGACAAAGAACGACAAGTGTCAATCAGCGCAAGAACTATACCTCCTCACGCCACCTCACAGTACCTCACGGCCAAACAGGATGGTTCTCATCATGATGATGATTTTTCTCCCGCCTTTCTAACCCCTACTGGAGCATAGGGCCTCAACCAACTCATGCCAAGTCGTTCTGGTGATGATGATGATGATAATGACGATGATGAAAACAAAGCAAGTACATACCGTGTCTTTGTGAGGTAGATGTTCTTTTCTGATTTTGAAGAAATTCTTGCCCAAATGTCGAAGGCCTTTGGCGAAGCGTTTCTGTGGGGTAGGAGAAAAAGAAAGCAAAACTTCACTAGACAAGAATGGTGGGATGGATTAATGGTGCCATTGGCTTGACTGTGGGGGAGGAGAAATAAATACAAAACTTCACTAGACAAGGATGATGGGATAGATTTATGGCGCAGTTAGCTTGGCTGTGGGGAAGGAGAAATACAATACAAAACATCACTAGACAACGATGATGGGATGGATTTATGGCGCAGTTAGCTTGGCTGTGGGGAAGGAGAAATACAATACAAAACCACTAGACAAGGATGATGGGATGGATTTATGGTGCAGTTAGCTTGGCTGTGGGGAAGGAGGAGAAGAAGAAAACAAAACATCACTAGAAAGTCTAGTGGGATGGATTAATGGTGCAGTTAGCTTGGCTGTGGGGAAGGAGGAGAAGAAGAAAACAAAACATCACTAGACAAGTCTAGTGGGATGGATTAATGGTGCAGTTAGCTTGGCTGTGGGGAAGGAGGAGAAGAAGAAAACAAAACATCACTAGACAAGTCTAGTGGGATGGATTAATGGTGCAGTTAGCTTGGCTTGTTTTGCAGGGGACAAATTTTTTTTTTCAGTCAGCACGTTCAATCAGCATCCCTGAAGGGGGAGCTTTAGGTTATAATTGTGACTCCAACATGGCTTAGCATGCTCGCCACCAAGTAGCCATGAAAAGGATTCTTGCAGTGTCGACGAGCACACAGCGGCCAGACACAAATACTGTCCCAACCGGCGACAATGTCGTCTACCGGCGAGCCAATGGGCGACATATTATACAGGGCTGTGGTTTTCAACCTTTCTAAGGTAAACCCCCCTTCCCCTCCCCCACACTTAGTTTATAATTCAATTCATGTGTTTTCCTATTAATTTTCAACAGTAGATATCCAGTTTATTAAAAAAAAACTGGGATTTATAAATAAACTTTAAAAAAAAAAAAACATTATTAAAATAGATTATTATAAATCCAAGGACTTAATTTCACAACGGCTTGATGCCCCCACCCCCCCTCCCCCCACAAACCCAAGTGTGAAAACCAATGACACAAAGTCATAACCATAACCAAGATTTGAGCCCACCGCCAAAACATTCTGAAGCTAGCTATGCAATTTAATTATTCGCCTCTTACGACATGCGTGTTAAGACCCCCTCCCCACCCCCATCCCAAACGGGGTCCCGGAAAGAACCCACACAGGCAGAATAAATGGTTAGTTCGACGGTAGTCTCCCCAGATCCCGCCTATATAGACACTAGTTCACTTCTGATTGGTAGTTCCATAGCCCCGTGACCTTCATAGAGGTTACAGGGATGTTACGCAATGCCGTTGATATCGCCTGTTGTATATTTCAACACGACGGCGCTTTTAACACTTCTAAAAACATGGAGAAACTGGGTCTAACACAACCCCGCTAGAGAGTGCTGCAACCTATGTCACAGGCATTCTCTTTCTTGGAATGAAAACGTAAACGCAAGACATCTGAGAAACCAAACAACAGAGCGGGACACACCCGTAACTTTCAGAAAAGTCGACCAGTCCAAATTAGGAATGAAAAGTGACCTACTCTATCCTGGGAGACTAACAGAGAACCTGAAAAAATATATCACAGCGTGCCATCTAACTTAACCTCCAAAACAGTAGTAGCGGGTCAATACAAAATGTCAAAGCAGGACTGGTGTTATAAGGTCAATTGACAATAACATTTTTCCTGAGCACGCCGGGACTTCTGCTTCTCACTTAATACCCCATCCAATCACCTTACGAACAGCCTCCTATTCTCCCGGGCAAGGGGTTAACTCGGGAGACCGCCCTGCCGTGTTGAAAGAGGATCCCGACTTGAAAGTGATTGCAGGTCGTTTAGACAGCACAATGGCCGCCAACAGAAAGCCGCTCTCGACAGCGTGGGCAAATATTTCACCGCCGGAGCGTCGCATCTTCGGCTCCTTTTCGCCATCCAATACATTAGTTCGGCTCTGAGTCATTGTCCCGAAGGAATTGGGTGACAACCCGCCCATGTAAAGCCAACAAGGCAGCGGACGAATGTGTGTCAACTTTCCCGTGCATTTACGAAAATATCGTCTTCACTTTGTCCCAAGCCCAGTGTTGCCACTTTGGATGTTTTACATCCAAATTTAAATGTTTTCCCTTGCATTTAGATGGCGTTTTTGACGTTTAGATGGTAGATGTTTTTCTAGATACTTTTCATTTGGGGTAAATTTATCAAATTTAACCTTAAAAACAGGATGAAATTTGACCTCTTAAATGCTATCTTGACAATAAAATTTTGCCGGATAAGAGAAGGAGACGGCTTTACAACTTATTGTCTCCCTGACTGGGCATTAAAAGAAATTGGAACAGCTAAAGCATACCAGTCATTTTAGATCTGAAGCTTCAACTTTATCATCCAAGCTAAGTTTATCATGTGGATCTTGTAAGGCAGTCTCCAGTAAAGATGAGGACATGATTCTATGGGGTAAGTCATATCAATTGCTATGTAATTTGTGACTCTTTCCATTTTGATGTTTTTTCTAGATGTTTTCCACGAATATTTAGACGTTTTTAGATATTTTTTGACTCCGTTTTGGATGTTTTCTGTCAAAGAAAAGTGGCAACACTGCCCAAGCCTCCTCGAGCATAAGCCCTCGCCAGCTGTCTCGTTTATTGATCAAGTTCAGGCTACGGACTCGCTGGGACCGGTATCTTAGCCTCCTCGTTTGCTAACACGTGCTTCTCACTTGTTTCCTGTGGGAAATGAGCGCAGCGCAAGGGGAATTACTTTTTCGAGGCGGCTGTAACATTATGCTCTCTATTTCAGAAAAGCGGCGTCCGTGGTTTAGACGTTGCCAGTCCGACTCGTACTTCCAACGTACCGCGATCGAAACCCACTGCTGGCTGCGTGGATTTTTAATCATGATATGGGGCGTCGTGGGTGGACCCAGTCTAAAATGGGTACAAGGATGGCTGTCCTGTGGAAGTAGAGACGGCCGGCGTAATGCTGACCACATTACCAACTTAGTGCCGATGGTCTGAAAAAAATATGGGCGCTCTTCCCATATACCTGATGCACTTAACAGCCTGAAAAGGGATCTTTACTTACTTTACTATCTTGTTTACAGGTCGTGTGCTTTACAGGACGTTGCAGAACCAACCCCAGCAGCCCCTGGCTGTTGTGTGGTTTCTCTAGACAAATTTACGTCCAGTAGTTTGCCATTGCTTTCTGGACGGGCGGCTTCTTGATACCACTGTCGAAACCAACGCAAGACGCATGGCCCGCAGCTGGGATCGAATATGGGAATGCTCCGAGTGTTGCGATGTCAATTCTTGACTCAACTCCACACAACTAATAAATTAAGAAGCTACAACAACAACAGCAGACACGTACAAGAAACATCGTTAATCTCCCCAAATAGAGTAGGTCATTTTTCATTCACAAGTTTGTTGGGCTGGTCGACTTTCCTGAAGGTTACGAGTGTGTACCGCTGTGTTGTTTGCTTTCTGTTATGTCTTGCATTTACGTTTTCATTCCGAAAGAAAGAGAGAGAGAGAGAGAGAGAGAGAGAGAGAGAGAGAGAGAGAGAGAGAGAGAGAGAGAGAGAGAGAGAGAGAGAGAGAATGTCTGTGACAAAGGTTGCAGCACTCTTTAGGGCGTTGTGTTAGGACTAGTTCCTTCATGTTTTTGGGAGTGTTAAAAGTGCTAGCGTGCTGAAATATACAATCCGCGATTTCAACGGCATTGCGGAACACCCCCGTAACCTTGTGCCAAGGTGATAGGTTCAGGAACTATCATTCAGAAGTGATCTACTGTGTAAATGGGCGGGGCGTGGAGAGATCAACGTGACTTTTACCTACAAATACACACTTTCTCCTAAAAAAAATGAATAATTTTCTCCACTTTTACCTAATCCCTAAACAACCCTTCCCCCCTCCCTCTTTTTTTTTCCCGCCATCCCCTCGCACCCTGCTGGCACCGTAATTACAAACACACACCGGGTGTTAACATACCCTGGTGGCACCGTAATTATGAACACACACCGGGTGTTAACATACCCTGGTGGCACCGTAATTATGAACACACACCGGGTGTTAACATACCCTGCTGGCACCGTAATTGTTAACACACCCTGTTGGCACCGTAATTACAAACACACACCGGGTGTTAACATACCCTGCTGGCACCGTAATTACAAACACACACCGGGTGTTAACATACCCTGCCGGAAACCAGACTAGCCATGGAATCCTTGAAGGCAACAACCGAAACACTGCTGCCAGGGCTGCCAATGGGATTTTTTTTTTTTTTTCAAACTCAGCTAAGCTGAACAAAAACCCAAGCAAAACATAAGCAAAGAACAACACCAGCAAAAAACCCAGATTATTTGAAAGTACGAATTTTATACTTACAAAACGAAACATTTACCCACTTTTTTATATGGATATATTTTTTTTTAAACCCCAGATTTCAAAATTTGAACCCACGGTGTCAAATAAAAACCTTGATCTGGGGGTAAAAACCCATCATTGGCAGCACTGACTGCAGCAGAAACTGCTAGAGAGCTCTCCTCTCTCTCTCCACGCTTGTCTGCCCAGAGTTATGCCTTTATAAACGGCTGGCTGACCTAAGGGAGACAACCCCTGGCAGCCTCACAGACAAAGCAGGGGGGGGGGGGGGGGGGGAACTCGTAACGGATACATATGATATTATTTAATTACACTGTTTCCGCTGAGGGGGAAAAAAAGGGAATAAGAGTATATTGGAAGATAAGTGGATGCGTGGGCATGCGCGAGCACACAAACGAATCACTTCAGGAACTCTGACATACTCAAGAGACCAAGAGGTCATCTCTTAAAAATAGACGCTGAGAGCACTGATAAGCACTCAATGAAGTATATTTTTCTACGTAGCGGGAGACACGACAGGCATGCAGACATTTTTTTTAAACGGCTCTATCATTTGACAAAGAACCGCTGTTGTGCCGCAACTAGACGCTCGCCTGCGGATCGGAAGTGGTGGGTTCGGGTGAGAGTCTTCTTCTTCTTCTCTTCCACATTGTACCTCATCGAAGTCTCGGGGGAGGACGTAATGTTTGTTGATGAGCTCTGTCAAGAGCACTATTAAGACTGATGTTCATTTCTGAAAGGTTGTTCTTAATGCCATCACTCCATATTTTCCGAGGTCTTCCACTCGCTCTATACCCGTTGTAACGTTTTAGTGTGGCTCGCTGTGGCAGACAGTACCAGGGCATTCTTGTTAGGTGTCCAAACCACTTCCTTTGATGACCTAGGCTCCCAAGTCGACCCAGCCTTGAATGGATACCAGATGGGGTCGGTCCTGGGGAGGCAACTGCGTGTCCTTTTGCAGCAGGATGAAAAACTAACCCCTGCACTTTTGGGCAGTTTGTGATTTCAGTAGACAATTTTATGTTCAGTAGTTTGTCACTGCACTCTTAACGAGGAGTTCTTGATACCACTGTCGAAGTCAACCAGGTGCTCTACTCCCAAATCACCTGCAGATTGATGCAAACCCGGCATCTCGGAACTATGAAGCGCATTTGCAACATAAAATGCCCAGTAAATTATAGAAAACTATAGAAGAGGAGGAAATAGCAAGCCAGAAAATGAAACCAAGACAAGTTATATAAACGACTACACCACCAACATAACACCAACAAATGCAACAACATGACCACACCAATAACAAAAGCAACACCAACAATACCACCACAACAAGAGCAACAACAACAGAAATACCAACAACCCCAAACAGAAACACCAACAATAACGGCAGAAATAGCAACAACAACAGATACAACACCCACCAAAAAATCAACAAAAACATCATTAAAAAGAACAACACTAACAAGAGAAACATTATCAACAACAAAATCAACAATAAGCACAACACCAACCTGAACGACATTAACAACAAGAACACCACCAACAGAAAGAACAACACCAACCAGAACAACATCAACAACAACAAAAACATCAGCAACAGGAAGAACAACACCAACAAAACAATATTAACAACAAGAAAACACCAACAAGAACAATACCAACAATTTGAACAACGTCAAAAAGAACAACCCTTACAAAAACAACACCACCACCAACAACAAGAACAACACCAACACAAACAATAACACCAACAACAATATCAATAACAACACCAACTACAACAACACCATGTACTTACCACATCTTCCTCATTCCATTTCTTTTCCCGGTACATGACAGAAGGCACTTTGACCAGTGCCTGCAGTGACTTGGACGTGTCGTAGTTGTTTGTGTGTAACTGCAACAATCAAAAAGATACTGTTGTTGTTTGTGTGTAACTGCAACAATCAAAAAGATACTGTCGTTGTTTGTGTGTAACTGCAACAGTCAAAAAGATACCATAGTTGTTTGTGTGTAACTGCAACAACAATCAAAAAGATACTGTTGTTGTTTGTGTGTAACTTCAACAACAAATCAAAAAGATACTGTTGTTGTTTGTGTGTAACTGCAACAACAATCGAAAAGATATCATAGTTGTTTGTGTGTAACTGCAACAACAATCAAACATATATCATAGTTGTTTGTGTGTAACTGCAACAACAATCGAAAAGATATCATAGTTGTTTGTGTGTAACTGCAACAACAATCGAAAAGATATCATAGTTGTTTGTGTGTAACTGCAACAACAATCGAAAAGATATCATAGTTGTTTGTGTGTAACTGCAACAACAATCGAAAAGATATCATAGTTGTTTGTGTGTAACTGCAACAACAATCGAAAAGATATCATAGTTGTTTGTGTGTAACTGCAACAACAATCGAAAAGATATCATAGTTGTTTGTGTGTAACTGCAACAACAATCGAAAAGATACTGTAGTTGTATGTGTGTAACTGCAACAACAATGAAAAAGATACTGTAGTTGTTTGTGTGTAACTTCAAACAATCAGAAACATACTGCAGTTGTTTGAGTGTAACTTCAAACAATGAGAAACATACTGCAGTTTGTGTGTAACTTCAAACAATCAGAAACATACTGCAGTTGTTTGAGTGTAACTTCAAACAATGAGAAACATTCTGCAGTTTGTGTGTAACTGCAACAACAATCAAAATACTGTAGTTTTTTAGGGTAACTTCAAACAATCAGAAACATACTGCAGTTGTTTGTGTGTAACTTCAAACAATGAGAAACATACTGTAGTTGTTTGAGTGTAACTTCAAACAATGAGAAACATACTGTAGTTGTTTGTGTGTAACTTCAAACAATGAGAAACATACTGTAGTTTGTGTGTAACTTCAAACAATGAGAAACATACTGTAGTTGTTTGAGTGTAACTTCAAACAATCAGAAACATACTGCAGTTGTTTGTGTGTAACTTCAAACAATCAGAAACATACTGCAGTTGTTTGAGTGTAACTTCAAAC